CTCAAATATTGGCTCTAAAAAACACGTTCACAACGATGCTACGCAACGGATTTTTCTAGCACTTCGTCTGGCAGTAAATATACCTCCTTGATAATGTTGCATACTTACACAGTTACAAATCTTGACGCAGACATACTTGGGCTCACTTTGAAATTTTTGGGATTGAAACGGCACCAAAAATCCTGGGATTAGTGCCGATAGTGCCAAAAATTCTCCAAAATGTTCCAAATTTACAAAACTGTGCCCGAAGTTTTGCCCACAACTCCAGAACGTTCCAAAGCCCGCCAAGCTTTTTGCCCGGAAAACCCAAAAGGGGACATTATACGCCATTAAGCAAGTGTATTAAAAGTATATTGAACGGTTGAACTTAATGGTCTTGTTAAAAAAGACCCCGAAGTTGATAACTTTGAAGGAAGTGTGATAACTTCATCCCACAGTGCTGTGACATCAGTGAATTGAAGGTATAATTCAACATTAAGCACCCACTGTACAACAGCGTTACAAATTCAGTCATTTACAAAGTTCGAGTTTCACCCAGATGTTCTGCAGTTTATCTAAATTAGCCAAGTCTGCGTAAGCCCTGCCGAATTACTCAAATTGTCTGCAGTGCGCCCAAAGTTATACAAATTAGGCATTACAACAGGTAGCAAGTCATTTACGGGACTACGTTCGGCACATATGTGTGCTTTGTCACAGTATACGCGATGTATAACTGTTTATTTAATTCACCAGTGCCGTAATCTTCATAAAAATTAAACTTTTGGGACACGTGTCCAAAAGTTTCAAGCTGCGCCAGAAGTTGACTTTGGGATTTACCCAAAAATGTCAAAGTGCATCCAAAGTGTTTGCCGGCTGGGATACATCGTGATTGGTCAGCAGCTCTGTAAATGTTTATTCATTTGCAGCAAAACATATAATCCTGATGGCGTAAATCTGTGTTACTGTGAACGGTGCCCCTTTAATAGTAGGAAATGCTTGAACTTAGATATTCACGTGGGTTGCATGATTATATGGAGACTTACTGATTCTCAGAATCGTCACTGTAGGTTCTTTCGGTCAGTGAGGTTATGAGCATAAGGATTTATGTTCAAATAGACATTTATCTGGTGTGACACGGGACTACAAAGACGAGTCAAGCATGTCGACTACTCGCAATTCGAAGTTGGAATATTGCGCGACCATGTTACCACTTATGAGGAAAAAAGACTAAAAACGAACTAAAATCATACACTGTACCTTCCGAAAAGTGATATTCTATTGTTTGTTTCATAACCAGCAGAATCTTTTGATGTTATGATAGGGTTTAATGACCTCCCTTCTGCTCCATTCAGAACCCCTAAAATCTTGCTGGTTTTTCAACAAATGTCAATGTGACGATGTCGGTAAACTGGTCGTCTCATGTTAAGTTCATAATATGAGAATTAAATGTCCCCTATTGTTACTGTTATCATTATGGTGTTGTGGTGTACCTTCCTGGCACCGAAATGCAACTAGGGCTAGGATAAACATATCAAATTGAAGTGGTCGAATATCAACTGAATGGACTTCTGGCTTGCCCCCGGGATGCTTAAGGCGTCATAAGTTTTGTTTTGGCGAGCATGAATCCGGGCAGGCCTCGACGCCATTTGGTGCACCCTTTGTGCTGGCTAACGCGCACATCTTCAAAGTCCCCAGTTCAACCATACTAGCCAGATAAGGTGGATAAATTTTTTCCCGCAAATCATTGCTACGTTGGGCTTGCCAACAGTGGGGTTGGTTGGGTGTTTCTTAGTAGTAACACAAACAGTACTTACATGGCGTATTCCCAAAACCTGTTAGTGGAGACTGAAAATTTCCATCTTACGAAAACTCAGATGAAGTGCAAAATATGAGAAACAAAAAAAGCGAAATTACTTTAAAGCCTATGGGCTTACAAAAAATATTTTTCCTGTCTCTGCAGACCTCGATCATACTCAGAACCTTGAGGATTTCATAATTCGCTTCATGTGGTGCAAACCGCGGTTTCGTTTTACAGAGAAGCTCATAGCTTCTTAATTCTAGGTGGTGGGGATGGGTTGGTCACCTATATCACTTTTTGTATCCAAAGTAATTAGGTCCACAATCAAGAATTCGACTGGCTAGAGTGGTCAGTGTGATATACATGAAACTGTGTAAGGCCTAGACATGGGTGGTTCGAGTGACCTAATAGAGGCGATCTGAGGAGTATTGTAGCGTCACACGCTTCCGTAGAATCAATTGCCTAGGGTTGGATGAGATCCAACATTGATGCCGGCATTGGTAGTTTAACTGGACTTGCCAAGCTGAAGGCACCCAGTCAAGCATCCTCACCATTTGGCACGCTGTCGTGTTACGTTGCACTGCTCGTATTCGACTCTCTAGCCAGTTAGTTGGAACGCATCGGTATCTTGGCACAACCTCGCAAATATACTATTCCATCTGACCATGCTATTGTGTTTTTTCTTTGCTTCATATTTGTGGGTACATAACAAGTTCAAATAATTAGTGATTGACCTCCGCTTCTGTCAAGTTCGCACCAGGACAATTCCTAGACTGTCATTACAACAGCCACTTGTTAGGTCCAGTCATCACTGTCTCAGACCAAACCTCCCCCCTTGTTCTTAGAGTTTCTAATATACCCAATGTCAATTTCGTAAGCTACAAATACGGTCGAACTAACGGTGCCACTCGGCCTCGATTCTTTATCCCCAGTGAGAAGCTTTGAACAAGCGAAAGCTAGAAATTGGTGATTCTGCAAAGTATTAACCGAAGCCATCGCTTGTATATCACCTACAAAAACGAATTCTTGGTGAGTAGCTAGGCAATCACAGCTTCGTTTGACAGGAGCGACCAAGTCACTGTTGGCCGTCAGTATGTCTTTCAAACAAAACTGCCACATTCCATCACCACTTGTCGCCAGAATTTAAGAAGATTCGACAACATAAAAGTGCAGTAACCACTAAAACAAAATGTTGGAAAAGTGCCTGTTGTTAGTGTGATATGAATAGCGGACGCACGTTTTCACAGACGAGATGGGGTCTTACGATTTCAGCCAACTCTCTTTGTCTCTTAACAGTTTTATGCCCATGAAGCTGATCGGGACAAGATGATTTTCGTGAAAACTATGCTAATGAGTACTTTTGAATTCAAAACAAAACAAAGACGAGGATGGAATAATAAAAACGAAAGGTGAGGTCACAGGGAATATAAATTCTTTCGATCTATTACGTCAGCTCATTCTACACCACCATGCTGTCTCTATAACCATCAACAGACAAAACAATGGTCTTCAGGTCGGACTGATCAGTCCTTTGTTCATTGGGATCCCGGTAATCGCAACTGTCCGCACATAACATGTCGTCGCAAGTTCATAAGGAATGCACAAGATTCCGGGTCACGGTTGTGCCACCCGCTCTACCTTTCATAATATTCACTGATTTGGACAGTTGCTGAATAGCTCCCAACTTCGAGCCTAACTTTTTTTAATCTACTGACCATTTTTGTTGTTGTCTGAGAAAAACTAACGCTTCTTCTTTAAACTCATTTCTTATGTGGTTTAAGCAACAATGTTCAACGTGTTGCGTGTTACAGTACACCACGATGAATTCATAATACCTACATGATCATACTTATAGGCCGGTTGGCTTTCATGTAACTTATGTTGTATGAAAATATACCATTATCAAATTGCAGGACACATTTTTGTCCAATCACGCGATCCCTAAGGTTTATCTTCCAACATTTTCATGGCACAGTGAAAATTTGTTATCGCAGACAGTTAAAGTAAGAATATTAATCTATTCCATCAACCCCCATGTACCTGAACGCATGCCAACTTAAAATGCATGATCCCAGTGGTGTTTCAGGCCCATCTATACACCAAAATAGTTTGTTCCGATGCAAGCCCAGGAGTATTGTTTGGGAAATGGAGAGTTAACAATTAGAGAAACGCGTAGCTCAAGATTACGTATCCTCTCCAACTTTCAACCCCATCAACTAAGCAGCTGTCAGTAAGGTACCATATCGCTTCTTCTAACTTTCGCACTTCTGATTAATAAGCATTCTTAGTTGCCAAATAGTGACTGGAAAGTAAGAAGTTCACTTTTTTACGAAAGGGGAGTCACTTGTTCGAGGGCGGCAGTCTGACAGCAGCGTGAAGAAAGGAAGTACAGAAGTGTGAAGTGCAACTTCAGTTACTTGGGGATCTTGAAAATTGACATGGACGACAAAAAATGTAAAGAAAGGCAACGGAAAACAAAATGTTGTGCAGAACAATTCTTGTACTGGTGAAATGCGTCCGATATTTTGTGTGATGCTTTGCATGATGTCCGAGCGAAGGGTTTTGACTTCCGCTTGCATTTGAGAACCCATGTTGGCTTGGGCATATATAAGGAATGTCATGAAAGTAGAAGGTAGTTACTGTGATCTCGAAGGAGGGAGAGTCAAAGGAGAATGGCAGAATTTTGAGAACACAATGCAATGGGCAGGTAATAGTTGGTGCTTTTTCGACAGCACATTTGCCTCGATGCCACATGAAGGCTCGCGAAAACACTTCGGTTTGCCGGTCAACCTACACCCTTCGTAAAGACCGCTACAGTTGCTTGTTACCATCGCATATTCAAAAGCTTCACCAGCACTTTTCTATCCCTCAGATAAGGGTAGTTTCCTCGTGTCCTCTACATCAGGTCCTCAGGTTCCTTGTTCTCAAGTTATCAGGCTATTTCGACGTCATGCTTCATCCTCCGGTCTGTCACCAACTTACTTCCGTCGAGCGCTTAGATTTCCAAGTTAAATATATCCGTGTACCAGCTCCGTGGCACACGTGGCTACTTGCGACAAACGGCTGGTCACAGTACAACCGTTTCAGAATTTTGAAGTGGACGTTGGTACTCAGCTGTGAAATATGGTATGTCTTCAGTGAAACCACTGTCAGAATACTAAGCGCGCTGGGGCAGCAAACACAGTTTACATACATGGAGTGATAAGCCAATATTTGATTCAATATGGAACTCATGTTTAGTCGATGGATTGATCGAGTAACAAAGAAATATCAGTTAATTCATGGAAGCTGCAGAGTGTGGTATACAGAGCATATTACACTTCATAAGGCTCCACATTCTAGTTTTGGGAAAATTTCTTAGCTCATAACTTGACTCTTACCTTCCAAGTCGGGCGTGATGTACACACCATTGTTACTTCCTAAATGTTTTGATCATGTACATGTGGCACATGGAGTCACTGTGCACGGATCAGTTGACAATGAATAAGTGAACATCTTTTGATGTCAGAAACTCACTAGACAGGCGTTGAAACGCGACAAGAGATCGGTATGCAGAAACGTGGAGGCCTGTTCCACCCCATGGTACTCTGCGTAACACAACTTTGAATCAACGTTACGAGCGACAGTCAATAAGAGAAATGGGATATTTGGGGTATCAAGGACTGTATATTGACGTTGAGTCATAAGCGATGCAGTGGCCACTTTCGGATACGTCGTACAAACGATGGAAATCAAAGGTAAACTTACGCCTCTATCGTCTAAGCCAGAGTTCTTCAAGTTCTAGCCTTTTGCCCCTTGTCTCATAAGGCATTGTTTCACCATGAGTAGGTAGGCACAGCTGAATTGTGCCGGACGTTCCCAACCAGTATACAAGTACACGCAGTCCTGCCACTGAAAATGCAAGTGAAATCCCCCACTGCTAGTCGGGCCCTTATTTTTGCCGAACAGGGGTTTTACTACAGCAGTGAGCGCATTTTCGCGTGTAAGACCTTTTGGCCGCCTGGTTTCGGAAGTAACCGATCGTTCATAATCAATAAAAAATAAACTTCTAGAGAGATTGAACCAGGGTATTTCATGGTTTTGAACATCTGCGATGAAAGTAAAGCGCCACATCAGGGAGTGAGTTATTGAAATGAGGGATGCGACCCTAACCAGGACATGAAAGCAGATGCCATGCCACACCATCAGTGAAAAAACTATAGGGCAATCTTCAATTTAGGTGAAACCTGTTAGCGCTACGTAAGGAAGTCTGTAGGCAGTCTCCTGATTGGACGTAAAAGACTCAATACGCAGTGCACAATGATACCGTAGTTGAAATTCACGTAGACTAGGAGCGATAGCGGCCCTAGGATGGCAGCGTGGAAGACACCGTATAGCATCAGTGTAGATTAGGAGCTGCGATTACTGAATTTCGCCGCTTGGAGCGGTCTTTAGAGAGTCTACTGGGTCAGAGCAGTGAAATGACTTTGACTCCCTGTGATTTTAATCGAGTGATTTAGCGTCTGAGAGACACCTTTCTGCAGTTTTGCCCGAATTCGAGGAGGGAGTTGATTACGAAAAGGCCATAGTCGCGTTTGTTGTGACATCATCTATATGGTCAAAAAGGCTGTTAGTTCATGATTGGCTTTTCGGAAGGCTGTTTTATGCCGGTGAACCAAGTTGGTAAGCTGGCACACGGTCAGCAACCTCCTTCACCATCACCTTTTCCTTAGTCATGGGAATCACCGAGGTGGTACTCATGGGCTGCTAGTTTACAGCATTAGGCACTGGTCTACGCTAAATCTTGGGGATATGCATGACGATTTAAAACACAGAGTAACTGCCAGTGGTGAGAAACATATTAAAGCGCTTCAGGAGGATCAGTGGTACATGTGCACCATCCCTCTTCAGGGGTATGGCTAAGATTCCATCAAATGCATCGTTAAATGAAGTTCGAAGTGTCCCTATTGAGAAGGAAATAATTGGGGTGAAGCGCGTGTAACCGCCAGCTGTTGGCAGGATGTTTCATGCGACATGCCTCCAATGTTCTCATGTGTGGGGGATAAAAAGACAGGCCATTTTAGTGCGCATTTATGAATTTACCCTCTCCCATTCAGCTAGATGTGTGAATCACTCGACTAGGCCCGTTCTTCGCAGCGTCGGATTTCATTTGCTACACTATCTTCTCTGAGAACGTTTATTCTAGACGTGTCTCTCCAGTTCTGCTACGTGTATACGTGCATGAGCTGTTAACAGGGCTTCTGTAAGCCTTTGGTAGGGTGTTGATGTGCAATAGCCAGCCCATTTATAGATTGCCCTTTTACCTTGGTTTCAGACTGCATAACAGAGCTTGAAGTGGCTGTATTTGATGTCAGGCTAATCTTATTCTGGTTGAGAGTACTGTTAAGCTCCGATAACAGGTTGAAGACTTTAACTTTGGAGCATTTTCCAGTGTTAGATATGGTAGTAGCGAATGAGCATGCTTTCTAAGCTGAGACCCTGGAATTGTTTTTACTCACTCCCACAGTACACGAGTTAGTTCAATTGGGCCATCGACATTTATAGGCGTAGTAAAGCGATGAAAGTAATTACTGATAAACCATTCCCATTAATGCTACAGAGCAAGTAGTACAGCAAATGGCTACGGAATATCTTAGGAAATCTTACGTGACAAGTGTTGCAAATTGTTTGTTGTCACCGAATAGAGGTTTAAAAATTAGACATTGTTTGAATAAACTCTGTCTGTTACCTAAGTGCGTGTAATTGTGACCCAAAAATGTGGTGAATAAGTGATTTTTCTTAACGTTTGTTACAGTTTTAGGTCACTCATGCTGCAATACAAATCCAGAAGGTTACCTTCTGAAGATACTCACTCATATTCAAGAAAAGGTGCATAATCATTGGCAGGCTGAGGTTTCGGGAAAAAACCATTCAGAAGGCATCCGGAAATGATGCATGCAAACTATATGGACTAATATTCAAAGCATGTAAAAAACGTATGACACTAATTGGTTTATACTCCCTGAAATATATGCGACTGAAGATTAATAGAATAATGAGGCAGAGCATTCTAACCACTCCAGATCACCAGATTTATCATTTGCTTAGGCCAAGCTGGTTATGTACGGGGACAATTGGGAGTTAGAAGTTGAAGGTGGTAGCTTCCACTCACAAGGAGTTGTTAGGGCCTAGGGATTGATTTTGTGCGAACTTGAAATCAATCATAAAACCCTTCATATTTGTAAAATACCCACGAGTCCCGGACTAAGAAGGAACATAATAAGGTACCTGGGTGGAGATAACATATTTGATAGACCATACCCAAACACCGATACGCCACAACTGTCTGGTTAGAAGATCACATGTGAGCGAAGCAACGTATAGTGACGTGTCAAATGGCGTGGATGCTTAGCACTGTCATCAGTCAAGCTAGTCCATCTAGAATATGAAAGTCAGAACCAATGCTGAATCTCATATAACCCTAAGCTACTGACACTATGAAATTATTCGCCCCTACAACAGTTTTGAATACTCCCCCTGCAGGTATTTTTCATACCACATAATACAGGTTTTCGGACACAAATTGTTTCATTTCCTTCATTTATTATTTGGTTCTAAACCCAGTTGCTTATATATACGAACTAACTTTTCAATGATTAAAAATGAGGAGGCCATTTAGCTTGAGGCTTTTTCATTCCATCTCCCACTATTTGAAGTTATACAATAGGCGGGAGGTTTGGGGTTTATGCTACGGTACGGCGCGTGTAGAGCATGTGAATTTGTATTTACTAATGAAGCGTAGTAGCACATCAAGCGTGGGAGTTTCTAGGTAAAAATAAACTTCGTCGCCCGGAAATTTCCTTTTAGTACCAGTGATGCAGGCTCAAAAAGGAAGTTTGTTCCAAATATAACAAATGCTCTCAACAAGTCTCGCCTGAATGACAAGTGAGTTTCGGTCATTCTGTTACCTTTTCATACATTACCTAGTTGAGTTGGTAGCTCTTGCAATTGCTGTGACTTGAGCTTTCATGGCAGTGAACATGCATTTAGGGTAGTTGTGTTTCCTAGGGTTCGGTATGGTGTTGGGATTTGTATGAAAATATATTTTGATTCATATCTTATGTGAGAAAAAGAGTAGCGAGCATAGTTTTAACGCATGTAACCTGTGGGTGGGAAAGCCTCAGAACCACTCCCTCACAGTTCGATTGCTTTATTGAAGAGAGGTTTAATCTTTATCATCGAGATTAATGTCTAAAAACCCATGCAAATTATATTATTGATTTCCTAAACCGGCATTTGGACATGCTTTTCTCAACTAAACAACGTAAAATCCGTGGGGACTGTGGTACCACTTAAATGTGGCACTCTTGTGTCATCATTATATGAGCCACACAGTCAATCTTACGTATAAATTCTCAGAATAAGATAGGTGGGTTTTGCAAACGATTAGGTGGTGTTGGTAGGAGTATCCCATTATTCACCATCCGTATCTATCTAGAGAGCCTTAGGGATCGGCTTTTATTCCTAGGGTAAATTAGTACGACGTTAATATAGTTAACGCTCCACCTTTTGGACTCATCAAAGTTTGGTAAGCGGAATCCTTAAAACAAAGCTTCACACCTACTTACTGTGATTCGATGGAGTCAGTAAAAGAAATTGTAAGATACATATAACTTCGTAGAAATACCTAGCTCTCCAAATCAATCCAATTTGTCTCATACTGCTCTCTGAATCTTATAAGTTTCATTCTTTCTCATGGTAAGCTTTAAAGAAGAACCTTCCCCAGTAGAAATACTCCAGTTTGGTTATGGTCTAATAATTAAGGCGATAATTAAGCAAATAACAGCTTGAAACCTACTTAATTTTTTGTTAACCGTTAGATTCTACAAAATGGTGCTAATGTGAAGCTGTAACTTTTTGGTGTAAACAGTCAATTTTCACTCCACTTACGGAAATATTGGCAACCAGTGAGGATCACAGCCAATGCACAGTTTTTGCAGTATTATTGATCGCTTGTGTTTTATGTGCAAACTAGCTACGTTGATTTCAGGGGTGTAATGCCAAACAAGCACACGGTAATGCAGTATTATTGTTTAGACTATGGCTCAGGCAGAATTCGTGGCTCGTAGTAATGTCGAAGGAGTCATATAACTTATAGATTTCACCTTTATGGACCAACAGTTCTTCATTATTTCATTTTAGTTTTCTAAACATTTGCAGTGGGAGATGAATCATTTTCGTTACATATGTTAGGTGTTGAGTCGATAAGGATGGATTCTGTGATCAATTCCTCACTATCTTGGTATACTGGGTTTTAAAACACCTTGTTTCAATTTAAAGTGTGGTTATGAGTCAATACGTACAGAGTGAAAATCAAGTTATTCTATGAACCACGTATCAGTATAATCTATCATTTTATATTACTCTAAATTTCTCTGCTTTACTATTCTAACCCCGATTGACTACTTTGACCTTAACAATGGACGTCACAATCACTACATTTTGTTTGATAGATTAGGTTATTTCCCTTAATTGGATCTACTAAATCTTCCAGCTCTTGAGGTTTATCCGTGAGTTTCTGGGTTTCCATCTCAGCATTGTTGAAAATCTTACGTAGACTTTCTGGTGTCTGTTCTGCGTATGGTGAAACCATAGAGGACTTGAAGTCTCTCTCAAACATGTTGCTATGACCACTAATATTGCTGTTTCTCCCATTAGTCCTTATAGATCTTTTAACAAACTGTGAAGGTTAATTATTAAGTAGTTATGTCTCTTCAATGTGTTTGAGTTCTTTATTCAGATTTTCTGATTTGCTGGTCAAATTTGTAGTTCGATTACTCAAAAGATAAGAATTCGAACAAAAGGTAATCCGTGGATGTGATGTAATAAAATCCATCAATAATTAGCTTACCTTCATCTTATCGCAAATTACGAAGGTATCATCCATGTATCTTCAATAAATATCTGTTGGATCTATATACGGTTTCAAAACATCGTTTTCTAACTTTGAAATGAACGGGTCGACACGTTTTGGTCCTAGTGCGCATCCAGATTGCTACCCCCATGTACCTATCTGTGTACATGATTGTTGAGAAAGTAAACATAAAGCGTGAATCGTAATACCTCTTTCAAGTCGTATGGATGCACGACAATGTCCATTTTATTTTCTTTAATAATTCCCGAAATATAATCGACCGTTCCCGTTGGTAAAACATTCGTGCAAACACGCGCTCGATCCTATATTTTCTGGTATCTAACCATATCAATGAATTCAAGAACGTCTCCAAGGTGTCTTTGCATTATATCATTCTTACTGGCTCTAGTAAGTGAGCTAACCGCTTCATCATAGTATGGCAGGATGTTTCGCATATCTAAAACTGGTTTCTGTTACGCCATCTTTATAAACTTTAGGTAAAAATCTCGCAGCAAAGGGATACACTTGACACCCCTTTCAGTGAGAACCACTGCCATAAGACCTCTTGGTCGACAGGATCTAATGCCACCTTCAGTTTGAGAAACGCAACTAGTCCCGTGCGTCGGCAAGTCTGTCTGTGTTTCAGAACCCGGCGGAGAGCGAGGTGTGGTCGATACACCCACGACTAGTTCTGAAACCTGCCTTAGTTTGTTGTTCCCGAGCCTCACGTTGACGTCTAACGATTGCAGAGTCTAGAATCTTTAGCACTATGTTCGTGGCTTTTTGAAGACTAGTACATTGATTGCTTGAGGTCAACCAGAGGGGATTATATCTTACTCCCATATACTACCTAACACCAATAATCCACCACCACTCCCATCAAATACCTACAACGTTAGCCCACCTGACCCTGTTGTCATTCCTATTTTCAGGTGGAAAGGCAGCATCTGAAACCACCAGGTATGAAACTTGCTTGGATTTCTCGGGTTTGTTGTTCTCGAGTTCTCTTTTAGAGATGACCCAGGTTGGAAAATTCCGAATCAGCTTTTTGTATCGGAGACATGTGTAGCCAGTCTCATGCAGATGTTCCTTGTGCTGCGCGGTCACGTACCACCTAATAGTATAACCGTTTTCAGAAACCTCAGGAAAAACTAGCCTTCCATGGCGTAGGCACCCAAGAAGTGTCAACCTGCCCTCACGGCTCTGTAAGCATTCAGGTTCTGTTAAATCATTATCAACCTTCCACACCTTCCTCTTTTAATCGATCCTGACATCTCTCAGCCAATATTCCTAAATCATCTTTAATTCGTCCCAGCTCTGCAGCTCTTAACAGTGTTCTGAGTTTATGGGACAGCACCCCTGGTCTCCTGAAACCACTCCCCAAACTACTCATCAAAGCTGTCAACGTCCGCACCTGTAAAGTCGACCAAGAAGCTTCACTAGCCAAAAACTGTAGCATCTTGGGCCATAGGTGTGTGCTGTGTTTGTGAAACAAGCATACAGGACTCAAGTGCGGTTATTCACTTAACCTCACCTGCTTATTATGCTGAACCTGCGTAATTCAGCCTTCCAGTTTCTGGAGATTCGATGGCCATCTCTCCCGGTCTTGTAGGTGTAGGCCTAGAACTGAGTCTTAAGGCAGAAAGTACACTGCTGGAGTGAATTCCAGTTAACAGTCACCTATATACTGTTCGATTGAACAGCACAGTATGGACTAAAATGAATAGTGAAACCCGCCATTGTCTCTTTGTATTCTCTGCTTATATACCCAGTGACTGCATTTCAGATAAAGTGAAGGGTGAGTCCTATCAAAAACTGTATAACCTCCGACTGATAGCCAAGTTTTCAGACGCGGTTGTTATTGCAGGTGATTTCACTTTGCAAGTGGGTGGACTAAGTCAGATAGGAAAGCATTTGGACAGCACTTTAAGAGTCCCAGCCAACAAATGAATAACTGCGTTTGGCCTGCTACAACTGTGCTCGAACAGTCACCTATTTCTTACTAGCACGAACTTCGGGTATAAAGAGGAAGAGAGATTGTTTGACATGGCATCCACTGAGCTCAACTCAGCGGTGGACATAGACCATATTGCTCTTAGTTATCTCTCGATGTGGTTGATGGAATACTACCACATTTTCTAGAGCAAGTTCCGTACTAGTACTACGGTTTCTTCGATATGGCATAATAGAAGGAATACAACAAAGAATACGGAGAGTACTGAATAGGTTAGACAGTGGGAACTGAATGATGACGTGATCCTATACTGTTTATATCGACAAGTTCCAAAACTTGCATAGTGATGCCATAATTCGTCGATAAGCCCTCAATCTTCAGTTACTGCAAGCTAATCATGACAAATACTACTACTTAGAAATTATATCCAAAGCTTTTGCACAACGTGATTAGGAACTGTTGGGTAAAGGCAAACTAGCCATACTTCCCGGCCTTGGCGGTTGAAGCGAGATTCAAGTCTGTGACTCCTTGCCTAGAAAGTGAATACTCAGACAATTCGGTCTCTTGGTTAGCCGCAAATGAAACTAACCAATCTAAAAGTTCAGTAGTTGAGGGTACTGTCTTCATGAACAGTGGTTCAGAGTTGTAAACAACTGTTAGGTCACTGGTTCTGGATGACTCCATTTACGTCGCTTTTAAAAGTCAGGTAATATACTGTTCACGGCCAAATAATAAACCTACCTATTGCACATATCTTTTTATAGGTATCAACCAAAACTCGTTATTTATTGGTACTAATTATTTTGTTGCCAATGGTAGCTGCAAAAATTATCCTTCCTTTATTTCCTTGTTCTTGCATCACTTATTAGCTCTACCTTAGTCTACTTCCGATTCCGTTCTCCACATATGATGCTTTTACAAGTCAGTATGTGATCAAATCGGTCGAAATGTATTCCGCAGATACATCACATTTTTCGAAAAAATCTCCTCTTCTAATCACTTAAAATCACTTAATGATAGTGTTTAAATTCACAGCTCAGTAAATTTTTGTGTTTTCAATATTCCTGATCTTCGTGAATGAAGGTAGTACTTGATGGCATTTCCGCTGCTGTTATCTAAAAGCCTGCCATTAACCCTGGGTTTTCAGATCTAAATAATTGGTATTACACTGATATTTATTGACACTTGTAATTTCCCGTTGCTATACTTGGTCGAATAGCGCGACTTCTGTTGGCAGATGGGCTCCTATATGGATGGCTCGGTACTGCTTGTTTATTCGTTATATTATAGAGAATAACGCTTTCGGGTTTAAGGCTTTGATTACAGAGTTCGAGTCTCAACGAGAACATCACACACGAGTGCAGGTACATCCACTTAGCGAGTTCCAAACAGGAAGAATCGTGCATCCTGGTTTTCACTGCTAGCCATCAAGTAGACTACAATATAAATTGATATTAGTTATTAACTTATATCAAGTTTAGTTTATAGGTGATGAAACTCAGTAACTGCATCAGTATAATCTACGGTACTTATCGAGCCTATGAAGGAGCAAACAAAGGTCAGAAAAGAAAAAGTAGGAACAATATTTCTTGCAGTGGATATGCTTTAGCGGGAATGATGCTTCGAAAATTCAGGCTATCTGTTTGACCGACTGTTATCTAATGACATTATCCCCTTTGTTTAGGGTAATATTTGCGTGGACAGCCAAGTTCTGGTTCCTTTATCTTTCTCATTTTTATTCTCATATATATGTATATAAATTTTTTCAGTGTCTCCAAGTTTCCGAGACAGGATGGTCCGAAACCTCGAACTGAACCAAGGTCAACTAGGTCCTATCAAAATAATACTGAGCGTCCAATGTATCAGAATTCAAAGCCACAGTTTGTACACAGCTACTCAATTTTCGAGACAGGAATCGGATGTGCAGCGAAACTGGATAAGAATGCTGTTGAGTTGTGTAAGCGTTAATTGATTTGAGTGCGAATGGAACTAGTTGGGATTGATAACTTTTCACAAAACGTTAACCAAAAAAAACAAGAAGGTCTATTTCTGAACGTTTTTGTAACATCTTAAGTATTTAATTTGTATAAACTTCTGCATGAGTTCTTAGCTGTCAGTTTTCAAACAAAAGTAAGGATAAGATGCCCAAGCATTCAATTATCGTTGGCATTACTTTAAAACTACCTTTTCATCTGTTGCGACATTAGGATTTTGCACAGTGGGATCGTATCTTTTTGCGTCCTTAAGCTCGTGAATTTTTTGTATCAGGTGGTATCTATGTACTCCTATTTTCACTTCCTTGATGGCTGTCTTCTAGATATCAAAGACAGTTAAGTTTAAACATTGGTGGAGCTTGAAAATATACTTAAGTCTAAACACCTGTGAAAATCATTCACAAGGTAATTATTTTTGGATATTTTTTGAGTACTTGGTATAAGGGCAACAAATGAGGTCTCCGTTCGAACTAAGCCCCATCATCTTTGACCTGCGTAACCGTGTTGTATCATTAGCGATCTGTGGTTTATAACCTAGTCCGTAAACACATGTACTTGGTTGAGTTACATTATTATTTATTATTAGTGGCTCCCAAAATTAACTTTCCATTCAGACTATGTTCCCCCATGCACTTTTGTGTAGCACCAAACGTTGTCGTAATGTTTATAAACACCCTTGATTTCCATTGTTTCAGAAGTTAAATATGTAACCTTTGGATTCATTTAACGTGTGAACAAAGTGTGGTTGTATTCCCTCGTGTTGGTCTCTATGGAAAACACAACAGGTTCTCAGTGTGATTAAGATCTTGCCTTTTTGGATAATGAAAAATTACGGCATCATTTCTTAAAGACAATAATTCTAATATCTCCGCTCTAGCTCCATAAAGTGTTCCACTTCAGCTTTTTGTTTCTACTATAATTTTACAATAGGATATTTGAATTTTTGTTGGGGTCTGTTTTCCGTCGATAGGTCAGTATAAAGTTCTGAATAAAATTATGGTAATATTCCAATAAGTTAACTATCTGCCTTTTGAAATCTTTTGATGAGTTTCTTGAGTGCCAATATTAATAGTCCATAAATACAGCAATCTCTCTGGTTTTTCGCTAATGCAAGAGTAGAATTTTGGCTTTGTGGTAGAGTAGAATTCCATATTAGATTGTTTATTTGATATAGTGCACTGGGATGTAGTATTATTTGCTTATTTATTTATTTATTTATTTTCGCTAGCCTAGCTTCTTTATTTCTCTGCTATTTAGCCAGTATAGATTCTACCACTTGCCAGGTATATTTTTGCAGCTTTGCATTCTCTATTATACTCTTTAATCACGCGTAAAAGAATATTAATAACAACATGATCAAGAAACTGAAGTTCAATGTTTATACTAAATGAACATACTAAGCAAAGTAGATACTCATCCTATACTTCGGCGTTTCAAGTCTTTAATTTGTTAGCAGATTTACAATTGACTGTCACGGAAAATAAACAATATTAACTTTAAGCCAAAGAACATGAGCAAATAGTAAAGAGATATACATCAGTTGGAATGCATTCAGCAACCTTGTGGACTTTCACAGATACGTCCTGATTACCCAAATCTCGTCTCATGAGTCTGAGCTCGGACCCTTAGTTGGGAACTAAGTGTCTTGGCCAATGAGCCACAACTACTAAATTTCAAAACATTGGAAACCGTCACTGAGTAGTCTGTAATTCCCTATATGGTTCAAATTAACAGTCCATAGTTCCATGTACTAGCACAATATCTTGGTCTGACCACTTATCTATTTCCCATGTTGCTGAATTGTTCCATATCACTGATAATTTAGGCGTAAATAAGTTTGCTAGATATAAGGTTGACGAACCACTACTTGGGTTGTAAGAACTCAAGTATTCACGTTAATGGTTAAAAAATTGGCTTTGTAAAATGGTAGGGTAAAATAAAAATGGTGTTTCAGAAGCAATGCCCAAATAACTTGTCCAATAATGTCTACATCGTGATCGACTATCATCATCAGGATCAACTTACAACCAGGCATTATTGCGTAATAGTCCAAGTTGCCAAACTTCATATCAGCACGTCAAGTAACAAGGCAATCAAATGGAAGATGAAGAAAGAGAAACCGGTCAAAGGAAGTAGAAGTAGAAAATAACAAAAGAGAAGAAGGAAGAATGAGAAGATAATTAGATTTAGTGTTTCAGTTAATGTGAAGATAATATGTATACATCTGCGCCACTGATATCGGTTCTGAGCCATACCACCTAAAGTCTCGAACCACTGGTGTCTCTTGTCCCGCAGACCCCAACCGGCTAGTTTACATCGCTGTACATGGCTTAAACTAACAGTCAAAGACTTCACACATTGATGCCATATTTTAGTCTGGCCGCCCCTGACCTTTTTCCAACCTGAACCTACTTCGACCAACATTGTGCTACGACGCAGATGGTGGCTAGGCATACGTAACACATGTTCCAACCATCTCAGTCGATGAAGAATCACAACAGCATCAACTGACTTACCTCTCTTGCCTAAAACTCTTCGCCTGACTTCTGTGTTACTCATGTGGTGACACCAAGTAACACGGTCTATACTACAAAGGCAACGGTGGTCAAACGCCTGAAGCCTTCTCATGTTTGTTACCTTCAATGGCCATGTTTCACAGCCTTACAGTTGAACAGAGAGGACTGTTGTGCAGTACGAGCCACCCATAATAGACAACAGGATATCACGGTGGTGCCACAGATGACGTAAGCTGGTAACAGCCGACTGAGCCTTCTGTATTGGTGCAGAAACTTCATCGGCCACTGAGCCACCAAGGCTGATCCTACTTCCCAGGTAAGTAAAGTGGTCAACGTACTCAACCACTTCATTCTCTATTGTCAGTCAGGGTACCGTTGAGGACCAGTTCTGGAGCAGCAATTTGCACTTGGGTAATGAGAAACGCATCCAAAACACTCTCAAATCGCCACCTAAAGTGTTCAGAAGACTTTACATCTTGTCAACGTCTTCATTTCACAGGACTATATCATCTGCGTATTTTAGGTCTACTAAAAATTCTCCTGTGATTCGGTTAGTCTCTGTGTGGTTGGATATCGAGAAGGCGACCTCAATGAGAACATCAATGGTTAAACTCAATAAGAATGGAGAGAGTAGGCATCCTTGATGGACACCACTCAACGTATACAACTCACCAGACATCTCACCACAGACTGTGACACGCCCACAAGTTTTCGAGTAGAGAACCTTTATTCGGTACCCCTTTCAATGACAAACACCGCCATAAGACTGCTCAGTCGACAGAGTCTAATGTCGCCTTCAGGTAGAGAAATACAGCTAGTGTCCGGCGTCGGTAAGCGTACCTGTGTTTCAGAACTTGGCGCAGTGTGAATATTTGGTCAATACACCCGTGGCCTGGTCTAAAGTCTTCTGATTTTCTCGGGATTGTTGTTCCCGAGCTCCACTTAGTCGTCGGATTATTGTCCAACCTAGATTTTGATCGACTAAGAAAAAATCCATTATTTCTAAAATCAGGAGATAATAACAGGGTAGTTTAGGAACGGTAAGACTTTAACCTTGTTATGCTCTTTTTAAGAGTATATTCGGTTTATCATAGTTTCGATTTCCGAATAATGACCTGCTTAGCTGAATAATTTTATAGCTTGGTACACTATATGCTGTACTTAATGGTTAGAAGTTAATAGAAATACTTTTTTCTGATGGTATTGAGTGGTTTAGTAACTGGGGGTTAGTTGTTTTGACCAGGTTTTTAGAGGATTTTGTAAAAGTCCGCTCGCATTACTTTTAATATAGGAGTAAAACTTGGGTATTGGTAGATTGCAGTTTCATTTTATCAAGTATGTATCGTAGCGAAACAGTATTATTTACTGGATAGCGTTTGTTTTCAACGTTCATCTTCAGACTGGATCTCGTAGAGGTAGACATTCAACTTCCGAATACTGGTTCGTGGGTTCAAATGCCGCTCCACTTGTCGAGGTTTGTGCAGCCACTTAGCATCATTAGTCCTCACAAAACGGTGTGTCTCATTGCCGAGTACATCTCAGTTTGACTTCCACAGTCATACCTAGTTGAAGACTAAGTTGGATCCGAAATATCATTCAGGGAATAGTACTATTTCACTGTGTGATGCACTTAATAAGCAAACGAAAATAGAACGGGATTACTGTTCGTTATAATATGCATACATTGTAAAGTGCGAACCTTACTTTTCTGCTTTTTTCGTTCCATGCAGTGTTTTTTTACCGCGGCTTTAAATGCTAAACACTGTTTAGTTCATTTTACACTTTTAATATGCTATTTTGTTTTCCCTGGTTTAGGTCGTTTAAGCATGTATAAACAACTGAACTTTCAGCTGTAATCGCACCATTCAGTGGAACTAATATACTTTTAGTCCCACTGTCTTCTTCTAGTGTTAGCTGAACATCGTGTTAGGAAGTTATTGTTCTGTCGTTTATCGTATCGTTTTTATTCATAGCACAGACCAAAACACTTTTATACTCAGTAACTTCTGTCATGAAAACTCATTGTCATTTTGTTTCTTTAGAGTGTACAGTGTCCCAAGTAAAATGTAGTTTTTGCGAACGTTTTTTGTTGTTTTCTCTTAATATGGTATTAATATCGTATTACAGGTGAGACTAAAGAAACAGTTTTGCCACAGACTGAATCCGCAGAATTTTCTGAGGCAGAATCTACATTGAATCCTTTAAATCAGTGTGAAGCATTTATAACAGATATTAAACAGTTATTTAAAACTCCACCGGTTATAATGCACGATTCTGCTGCTGGTCAAGAATTCGATTTAGGTAAGTAAGTCTTATTTTAAAATTGTTTCGTATCTGCAAATCCTGAGGAACTGACTGCTTTCTTACACAATGTTTCCAATCTTGTATAGGTAAGGCAAACATGATTTGCAAAATGTCAGAGTGGTATACTGTTTGGAAGAAATTAGTTATTGGGTATATTATATTCATTATTTTGATATTTGTATTTCCCACTGAATGTAAAGAAAACCACTTTTTAAATTAAAACATCGCTATTTAGTGCTAATAGCATTATTAAACTTATAGGCTATTGGAAAATACAAATATCAAAATAATGGGTAGTCTATGGCTGGTTAAGTACTAACTTACTATTGTTGAGTTACTAGTGCCTCCAAAATCCTGGACGAATGACCACCTAAAATAATTTACAACTGACTATTGGATGGATAAAATTATCATGTTGCATACAAAATCTACAACCTGAAACAAATTTTTATCTATTTAATAATAAACCTTAGTCAACTGAGATGGGTTAAACATGTACTGCGAATGCCGGGCCACCGCCTACCTCGATGTGGCATGTTAGAGGAAGTTGGATTAGGTTGAACGAGGGTTCGGAGTGGCCAGACCAAGACGCGGTAAAGTCTCTTACTGTTGGTATGAGCCGTGTAGGGAGATCTTGACTGCTTGGTTGGGGTCCCTCAGATGATAGTAATCAATGATTGAAGACTCTTAGTGACATGGGTGGAAATCAGTAACTCCTTGACATCTAAAGCATGAATATTCACACCAATCTGTATCTTTAGATTGTTTATTCTCTCATATCACTTTATCTACTTTGATTTCACTCCTTTTCTATCCACTTGTTCTTTGTGCACTACTGTGAAGTGTGGCGGCTTAAGCCAATGCACTTGGTGTGAGGTTCTAAGTTGATTTTGTCAGTCAGTCAGTAATAAACCATTGATCAAGGGCGAAACTGAAAGTAAACAAGTGACTGGTGAATACAAGTCTGCTTCACTGTCTGTTGTGATACAACATCACCTAAAGGTAAATAAGTCGTGTGAGTTACTAGGCGAAAAACAGTAATTTGTGACTTTTTCCAGGTGACGACGTTTATAAGCTCCGTTTAATTTTGTAAAAGCGACTAATTATTTTGAAATACATAAAACCCAAGTAGAAGACTTCCTGCCTTAATGCGAATTATTTTGTCACTGTTCTTTCAAATAAGGTTTAAATGGACATCAAATGGACGGTTGTTAAATGAAGTGACTATAAACAACCGTATATTTTTACAAGCATTGGGAAATAAACTAAGAAATTAAGTTTACCAGCGAGGGAATTTCGGTGATAGGCTATCTGGTTAAAAATTCTTGCACGTGCTAGTAAATTTGCTACAGTAAAACTATCTCTTTATATAGTATTTATATCTGGCGTTGATTTACTCTACAATTGATTAAATACTCATCCGTTTAATAAACAGCTGTTAAATATGATTGGTGTTTGTCAGAAAAGTGATAAGCCTTTTTTTGAATATATATGTAATTTGATGCATACAATAGTTTCCGTCGCTGTTTGAAATGCTGAGTTCACCAAATACAACAATGCAAATTTTTCGTATAAAATTACAGAATGCAACTCTTGGCTAGTTCGGGAAATTTTTCTGATTGAAAATTGCTGGTAGAAGTGCTCTTAACCAGACAACTTTGTTCTGACGATATGATGTGTGCTAGATTTTCCTCAATACTCTTCAGTTGTCTACAAGCCTGCTCATCTGACTGTTTTCAATAATTTACCTACAGAAATCTTTGGTTGACAGATGGATAAACTGTTTTAAGCTTTATGGTTAGCTAAATGTACAAACTTACATACGGTGGTCTTCAAACCTGCATTCCTGTTACATAAGAAATTCTAGCTAGCGTAGTTTTTCAGTCTAATTGCTATCAAGTTTCATTCATTTGTCTTTTACTCAAGTCAGCATGTATTCATATGTCCAATTATATGTTTATATTATTTTTACTTGTGTTTATTGTCAGCTTTCATCACCAGTCGGAAATGTGTTGTCTGCTTAACTGCAAGCATTACAAACACTAGTTGATACGATTTCTTTTAGATCACTTACGCTATCTTTTGACAATATGTAATATTCAGGTGATTATATCGTAGAAATTCTACTCAGCGTTAATCAAAATGAACAGATTGCAAAATATTAAAGTTGTTTGTCGATAAACATATTTAGCTTTTTTTTAACTCAATTCCTTCTTGTTAGTTGCCTTACTGTACCATTTAACTAAAACCATCACTTAAATATGTGTTTATTTATTGACACTGAAAATATAGTCTAGATTTTGACCATTGTGACAGTGAACACTTGGGATTTAGTTACGTTTTAAAAGTCAAACACTGCTCATGTAAGCAAACAATAATTACGAAATTCTCTCATTTAAGATTTAAATACACTAAACTGCACTGTTGATTAACATGTAAGTCAAAAGGTCATAGAAATACTTGTTTGATGTTGTAGAATGAAAAGATAAGAGAAGGTATTTGGATGAAATGCAGAAGCTTGAGTTTATAACGGTTGTCGTTTCAGAAAAATTTATTAATCCCTGACGTTGGCATTAAAAATCAAAATGTAAACTACCCATAAGTTTTAACATCTCACTGATCAAGTAGTGCGTACTCAGTTTCATGTATTCACCGATTACACTAATTTATCGTGTTTATTTCAAGCCTTTTCTTTTAAAATGTCTCTATTTTTGGATAGATCCCTTTAGAGATTTGGATTTGTCTTACGGATGGAGTTCCAGATTCCCTTTTAACCTTTTTTCCGAAAGCACTGATTCAGGAAAACTGTTCACTTTACAATTGCCAGATAAATTGTTGCCTCCAGTAAGTTCATCTTTTTTTCCTTAAAACCTCCATTTTCTTACATACATTGAAAGGACTTACAATGTCAGAAGTTTTTTCTAATAAATGGCGATAACTTCTACCCTATATGGTGATGACTGTTATTTTCTCCATTACGCGACACAATCATTACGAAATAGCATTTATTCAAATATTTTGGAACCTAGTCTTTAGCAATAACAAGGAATATATTCATTTACCAAATTTAAACCTCCAATAATAAAACTGGTAGCTTTTGACTCATTCCCTAATATCTAAACTGCTCTCTCATATATCTTCAACTCTATGGATAAAGTGCATATGAAATTAATCCCTCAGTCTAGAACACTGTTAGTCAGGCATCGATGTATAGGCTCAGGTGGATATGAAGCTTTATTGTTCTTGCTAAATCTCTGCCTTATAGATACATTCATGAAAATTTCTTTTGGTTCTAAAACAATTGGTTTGCAAAGTATCATATTGTTTGGTGCTTCATTATTTATTAGTCATCGACCAATTTAGTGTGGAGTGAAAATTATACCTTATCAATTGAATTGTTCGATTTGCTTCACGCTCTACTTCTCATGGTGTTAAACTTTTTGCCATCTTCCATACGTGTAAGTCGCTTCATTTGCTTCGAAATTGCTCCTTACGCCTTAATCCGGAAAGTATGCCCTAGACACATATGTTGTCAACTCAGAAAGGAGAATAGAATTAATGTCTGTTGTTTACATCTTGTAAAATTCATCAAATAAAATTTGAATTTCACTTTTTTGCACATTTTCTTACCTCTCATGCACCACTTACTTTTGTTGCTCTAAATGAAGCTAATTTCTTTTTCACTGCTCTTTCGCTTTTGTTTGGCTGTACTCACATTCTTTTCAGTTGAAGTAACCTTGCTCAATCTAACACTGAATTTTTTTTGTTAGCTAAGTGAGTTGTGGGGGAAGTCATATTTCATTCACTTGCACAGCCAAATTTTACGCCCAGAATCTAGTATAGCCACAATTAGTAACAATGGGATCATATAGAATAGTCTTCTTGTCAAAATTTGTTAATATGTAGAAATCGTAAGTAAAAGAATACTTCGGTCGTGACTTTGATCAAAACTACTGGTTTAGTGTTCTACTTATTTAGCTTGTAAACAGATGATTGTTACATATCACTTCCAATTTAGTCACCGTTTGTGTTACATTTTTCTCTTGTTCGCCTGTTATTTATCGTACCAACTATCCTGTCAGGTCTTATTATGGAAATCCATAGCAATCGAAACTCAGTAAAGCAGTAACTAACAAATCTATTTCTCTTACGCTGGCTGTAGTATATTTTTATCAGTCCCCATACTCAGCTAGATCTCAATAATCGGTGTATCCCTGAGCTCATCGTGTAGGATATTTAGTTAATCATCAGGAAACGTATCAGAAACATTTTTCGACTTTTTTGGACCATTTCTTTTCTTTTAATTCAAGGAAAATGAGCAGGTTAAAGACGGTTTATTCGGAAAACTACAACTGTTGGATAATCAGGAAGTTCGATTGGTTATCGGTGACGCTCGATTCTATTTATCCTGTCCTAGACCGTTAACTTTAGCATCGGTAAGCTCCTCTATACATGTTTCACTGGTCCATTATTTTTATGGTATCTTTATCGTTATACGTATTGGTTGTTATGTTCACAACTAACCCTAACACTGCTTGTCACGTCGGCTAACAAACCAGGAACACAACAGCTGAGCAGGCTGCATCAAAACAACACAGAAAGTATCAGAAAGATTGGATGCAAAAACAGAAGTGGGTTATTAAAGAGGCTGTTTAAATGAAGCATCCACTACTCTCATTTTCGGTTGTCAGTAATCTAAGAAATAAGACAACTGTTGAATGATCGCTACTGGTTTTGATTGTGAGCCACATCTGCCATTGTCTTGAACCATTAAGTTGCATGACCTCTCTAACCCCATTCAGGGAGTCGTGAGGCATCTGCAAATTTTGAAAAGAGTAACCTTTTTCGAGAAAATTATGAAGCTGTCATATTTTAGCTGATATAATTCGTGATAAAAATTTTCTTTTTTTTATGCCGTTACTAGAAAGTGCCGGTCACTTGTTTTCCATCTGCTGTTCAAATACCAGCGTAGCATTCCAGCACAAAGATTAGGTATTATCTGAAGGCACCGTTAAATTATTTTTAAAGCACTTTCCTTAAGATAGAAAGCATCTCTAACAGTGATTTCTAATTAGTAGATGGGGATCTTCCGTATAAACATTACATTCATTTTTCTAATAGGCAAGCGACTGATTGGACTTTCAACAAAGTTCACTGATACTTACCGACATTTACTGGATTGTAAGGAATCTGAATCCGGTGCAATATCTCAGGTACCGAGGGATGAGTGACACTTATTAGTTATGTTAATTTTGGTACTTGTTCCAGTGTTGGAATAATAGATGACCCTCTGACATGTCTCAGTAATTAATTGCTACACTTTTCAAGAAATGAAATAAATCCCCTTGAGATAATTGTAAAAGAATGAGCTTAACAAATATTCTTCATAAGATCCTAGTTTTCCTAGTGATTAAACGCTCTAAGCTAGGGACAAAGCAGTTCTCAGGGGTGGTCGAGCGTCTATCAACCAGACCTTTACCATTCACTACACTGTGAAATATAGATGTACTCATCGACGTTTGTATTTCTTGACCTAAAGGTGGCGCTAGATTCCTTTGGTCCACCCCATTCACGAGTTGTGACTTTTAAAGAATTCGCTTCTTGTGCAAGCAATATGTAATTTTTCTTGTAAAGGGGACAGAAGAGATCGTGGTTTTGAACGATCAGAGATGGATAAACATGTGATGATAGGCACTTATTTAGACTTATCACTGAAAATTGGGTGAAAAGTTGGTTGTCAGTGAGGTTATGCTGGAGAAAGATACGTCTGTGATGCAACTTAAGAGTGAAATAACTGGAACGATAGACAGAAATCTTTACATAGCAGTTCAGCTGGTTCTCAGATAGTCGTAACTTGCCCAGTATCCAGTCTCAGCCTGGTTGGAACATCTATAGAGAACTTTGATCTCATACGAAGTTGCTAAGTCTGCAAATAACCCGAAACACGGAAAGAGTTTCCTCTTGCATTTTAATCTGCTGACGTGATATATGGTAACTAAAAATGGTACACAGTGACATTACATCCTATGTTGGTAGTAATTAGTTACTCGATGCAATCCAGCGGATCTCTGTAGCTTCGTCAGCACACGTAGGAGCAGTAGCAACCCAAATTTAAGTCGTGAAAAGAAGAGTCTAGATCAATTGCACATAAAATTCATTATTGTTTACTTAGACGGTGAAAGCTTGAACAATTCAAAAAGGAAGTGCTTCATTTTTAAGCTACTCTTCATCTGACATTTCATTTTGAAGAGGGATTTTTTCGAGACTATGGCAACTGTCAAACGCTATGATCACAAACTTCATTCCAGGATTGCTCGTCAGACTGATCGACATATTGATTGGGGTTTTGGAATTAAGCATGATTTTCCGTCATTTGTTCTTCCTGTTCGTAACCAGGGTTTTAAATCTTTGTTTAGTATCTGAAGATAAATTAGGCTCATCATCATCTTTATACAAGTGAAGTTTGAAAATAGTAGCGATGATGATAATAGTATTGCAATAATTTTGAAAATTATGATATTGCCCTGTTCATGTAGGTTTCCTATAGATCGACCTCCTTAATCGATGGGGGGACGGCTGATCCGGCCATCATTTTCATAACTATTGCCCAGTCCAATATAAACGCGGTTCAGTTAGGCTCTTATTGAACAGGATAGACCGCATCTGCACCGATGATACAAAGGAGGAAGAAACCAACTGACAACACTAATACAGAATGGCTACCCGTTGAAATTTATCGACAGGTGCAAAAGTTATATTGCACTGAAACGTACACAGTATTCCATTGCTATGAAAGGCGTCTACATCTCATTACCATTTGGAGGTAATTCACCATCCAGTCATCTGTAAAACATATTACGCACCCAAGGTCATCATTATGGAAAAGACAAAGTCCATGTTACAAAGCAAACCAAAACAACATAAATGATTGCATCACATCCCACTGTGCTTATAAACTTACATGTGTGTGTGTGGACACATACATTGGGAGGAGTAGTCGTGATATGCGGTTAAGGAAGGTTGAACATGTACCTAAGGGACTTCAAAAACCAATTACCTCAACAGATCTGATAAGTGCAGGTGACAAACGCTATCGCTAAACATGAACTAGAAACTAAACCTAGGATAGGCATGAAACAGCCTTTAAAGTACTACATAAAAGTAGTCAGGGCTGAGTGCTTAAATTTATTGGAGCTTTTCCTATCCGTGAGTTCAAACCCCCTTTATGTATACATAAATAGTTTATACTCACGTTGAACCTACCCTGGTAGTGTTGATTTTAATTTTCATACCCGTAGTAGCGTGATTACGATTTTTCCTCTATCCTTCCTATTCCTGTGTTTCCAATTGATTTCATTAACACTTTTTGTAAATTTTCATATTAATAGTTCGATAAGTCCATGTGTTGTCAGATTGTTTAAAATATATAGCGCTAATTTTAGAGAAAGTAAATATGGATGATATTTCGGTTCACCATCCAAATTGCAACATAGCTACTCCAATGAACGTCTTTATAATGTTAACTTCTGTCTGAAATAAAAAGGCTGCAAATAGTATGTGGGATTAAAGTGAAAATAAAAAATCTATATAGTTTATTATTATTTTTTCTTTCTTGTATATACATCAACATGAACTGATGTGCCCAGTTTCTGTGCTATGTTCTAGGTTGATATGTTTTGAAATGAATTTTAGTCTCACATGTCTTAGCATGCTAACTTTCATTACTTTTTCTCCTTTTTAACCTTTAGGATGTTGTACTTGTAAATGAGGATAATCCTGATCACATTTGTTTAGAATGTATAGGTCATTTAGAACAAACGATGGCAGCTGTTCCCGATTTAGAACCTTATGTAGAGTTGGGCAAATGAACTGTTACTCCATTTCTACATTTTGTATATATAAGCATATAAATTTTAACATTAATACTTTTCTTTTATTATCTACTGTTATCCCTTAATGGTATGTTTTGATTAATAATATCTATCAGACTATGATTATGAAACAACTTTATAACGAATATACGCGTTTGGTTGAAGATACAGTTATTTGGTTCCTTGATATTAACTCGACTTTCACATGCCACCAGCAAAAGCCAGAACTTCAATAAAAGGTTTTATCTAAGAGTTCAAGTGATAGATAGTTTTCTTGACTTAGTAATGCTCATTTTCTCAATGTTAGGCGATTTTTGTCAGTAACTGGGGTTAATTTGGGTTGTGGGTAAAATTTTGAACTACATAGTCTCCCATCATTTCCCTTATGAAGTATATAAGTATATAAGACGGAGCGTCACTAGTTTGTCCCGTTTATTTATGCCGTGTTCGTTCTTAAGAGAATATCTCCAGTCTTTTCGCTAGTGCTATTTTAATTCAATTGTTACTTCAGTGCTTCCCGTTTCTGAAGTCCAGAAACTGTAGTCAATTTTGTGCAGTCTAAATATTGTCCTAAGTAGGATTTAGGTGAACCGGACCAGAAAATCCATTTATTAAGAGAAAATAATGGCTATCTTGAAATAACTAGCGCCATAACTCTGAGGGATTTTTGGTTACATAGCAGCAGTGTATGCCATCTGATATAGATTTATTACCTTTATTAAAAGTATTTGTACCTGCCTCGAATAGCTTCGACTACCTCTTGAGTAAAGCCAGTTTTTTATTTGTATTTCCAAGGAAGCAATTTGAAGTGGATAACATAATGATATCAGTAAATTGCTAAACACCTAACTTCCGATGTACACTCGTCTGTCACTCCTATTTGATTTTCTTCTTAGTCACCAGTCTATCTAGCTATGTATTCTTGTCGTTCAGTAATGATATAATTCTTTTCTTCACACATCAAAAAATACTAGGTATAGAAAATTTGACATTAAATAACTTCATCTTATTTGATGCATTACCTTCGCCTTTCCACAGTTTCATGCTTCTTAGATAAATTTTGATTGGCTTAAAAAAGCTTTGTAGATTTGGGAGGCTCTTCCCGCATCTAACCGGAAACCATCTTTGAAGACCGAACGTAAAACAAAGTGACATATTAGAAAGTATATTGATTAGTCACTGGCCAGTAACCAGTTTTATATTGTATATTCCTGAGTGTTGACCGAATTCTGTCGATCATTTCACAAACTGATCGGCAAAGTGGGGAGACTAACCAGCGCGTTGCACTTGGGTTGATGATAAGTGTTTATTGGAACTCGACAGAAAGTCATGAACCTCGGTTTCGTGTTTGTTGGCATTCATCAGATGTAAATTTAGATGTAAGTAGTATCAAAAACAATTTCACAATATCCTACGGAACATACGTTGGTGGTGTATCAAAACGTAGATCCAGGCCTTATTAGCAACTGAATCCTTAAATCTAGCACCAATACAGAGTGCGCTGCTTTGTCATACTGCTTGCCTGTAGGGCTACAGTGCAAAATTCATCAATAGACTAAATTCATGCCGCTGCTAAACAGTGAGGACTAGACAGCTACATCAGTTGCCCACTGGTATAGTAAATAATTGGTTGTAATAGTCTCAGAAATTCATATGACCCACTCTGAAAGGTAAAACGACGTAGCCTTCATTTTATATTTAGTAGTTAGTTAAATTCGACCAGTTTAGAGTTTTGCTTTTTATTTTGAATACCACTTGTTAAACCGAGACATCTATAAACAGAGTGGGCAGTATTCACAAAGACATACCTTTCCCAAATATGTTTACTATAAACTTATGTGATGAAAATTGTTTCATTGACATATCCAAAACAAGTGAACAGACTTGGAAAAAGATGTCCTGTTCCAAGTAAATAGTAAAGTTTGTATTCGTAACCGACAGTTATTCATATTGTTACTGAAAATCAAAAGCTTTTGATTTGAAACTGATGTCTGTGGTTACAAATCGCCTACAACTTAACTAGTAATGTCATTTTTCACACCCAGTTTACTTCTGGTAATCGCTGTAATTGAAAATTATCCTCCGAACTACCTTCCTTTATTTTGAGATCAATGAAACAGTTGTAGCTATTTAGTTCTTCAAACATTCAGTGTAACTTTAGCCAATTTTGCGTGATTCGCAGTACTACTGAACCTTAAGTGTCCATTTGCAGTAAAGGACCGATTGGTTGTACTGAGGGGTGTATAAAGTTCTGAACTTCGTTATTAGAATTTTTTTAATGTGTTACCATTTGACGTGGGAAGTGAGGGTATAAGGGTAAATTGAATGACTAAACTGGTATATTTGAATTCTATTTCTCAAGACTGACTAAACAATTGTCCTTTTATTTTCGTTGTGTGTAATCTTCACTGTTGAGACATGTGTACTATTTTTGTAGTATGGGATTGTGTGGCATTAGGTCCAGACTTTGCACTAACCAGAATTACAATTCTCAAACTCATACTAGAAGAACAAGAATTGTAATTTGCAACCCAGTAGTCGCAAACTTTCCACAGATAGTTCAATCAACCTCAATCGCATACTGATTCAAACCTGTACTTACTTCAGCATGATCACAGTAGCATTCAAAAAGATAACCAGTAGGATTGTAATACGAATCATAGTAGGATGGAACAGAGATAACCGGTGAGAATGTTGTGGCGCATGCAAACCATCACTTTGTATGTACTAGATTCTGTTTTCAGACAGGATAACTTGATCAGACCTGGTTAAGCATGCATAATTACCACTTTATTATACATTCAAACTCAGCTTTCGAAAAGAAGAGCTGATTAATTGTTTCGTGTTCATAAAAGTGATGTCATTATTACTAATAACTCTAGCTTTTTTAAGAGATCAATTGCATTAATCTGAATTACCTAGTTTCATCATCTGATCATTTACGAAATGTGTTGAGTGTATACGGCATTTGCATAACTCTACGGTGAACATTAGTCTAAACAATATGAAAATCATTTAGTTATTTTCTTTATTACTGAAACAATGTCCTCCCGATAACTACGGTTATCATTCACTCGTCAGAGTTGTATCCTATAATGATCAGAATTTGAACCTTGAGTTTTAATTTTATCTCTTGCCAAAAAGATTGCTTAAACTACTAAAGTCAAGAGTTAAATGCTGGAAGAAGTATACTATGAAGGAAGTCACAGGATACACCATGTCTCTCTTCATTATCACATTGGTATTGTGAAGAAATTACATTACAAATTCACAAGCTAGACAAATGATCAAGGGAGGTAAATAACTAGGTGGTTGGTGTGTGGAGAACTGACTGATTTTAAAACGGTTTCCATCATGTATTGATAATATCTAGCGAACCACTGAAAACCTGATGGTATCGAAAGGTTGTTCCGACCAATTTATTTAACCGAATCGATTGTGAGGGCAGATACTTTCCAACAGAATCGGATGATGGTTATGAATTGATGTAACCAGAAAAGTGTACGCTGCTGAATCCCGAGATCTGATGGTCCCGGCCCTTATCACTGAAAATGTTTACATATACACTCCCGAGGGTTCCAGTGTAGAACGGAAAAACTGTCCAGTACTGGTAGCTTTGTAGTGGTTCTCTATCTAGTATCAACTCGTGATGAAAACCGCCCTAAGTATGTGTTTGCTGAATACGGTTTCTGATTTCGATGCAACTCTTTTTGGAATTCATGCTATCTTAGGTTGTTACACTTCCCGGTTACGGTTATTATTTGTACCTTACTCTGATTTCCACGCCTATGAGTAAATAACTGTTAGAAAGATATGATGTGGATTAGGAATTCTATGTTATTTGGTTGGAGGCAATCGGCAGGAAGCCCTCACCCTAGACTTCATGCATGTTGGCATTCATCAGCAAGGCGTATCTCCAACCTTGAGAGGAGTGATATCTCCTATGAGATTTGACGCCGTATCACCCAGTGTTGCAGTCAGGAGTGTTACCACTGAGTTATTCGGACCAGGTGCAGTTGTAACGTCCCTGACTGCAACACTGGGTAATGCGGCATCAAATCACATAAGGGACATCACTTATCTCGAAGTTGCAGATGCGCCTTGCTGACGAGTGTCAACAGACATGAAACCTAGGGCGAGGGCTTCCTGCCGATTGCCTCCAACCAACTAACATCTGTCTGAGTGCACGGCGATGTTGGGCCTTCTACCTTGGTGACCACACTGCCAAATGATCGATAGAATTCGATCAGCACTCAGGACTAGACAACATGAAAATGGACGCCCTCCAGTGACTAATCAATGTAATTCTTCTGTCTATTTATTCACATTTCTTTTACAGCTCACAATTTGCTCTAATACTCGTAAACCATAAGACCACAAAACACAATAGATCAGAAATAATCGGCGAAGTCGTTTACCCTAGGAAGGGTCAACGACGTTTTCAATGACATCAAATTCACAATAAAGAGTCGAACAACCAACTACAATTCCTGGATGTTTTAGTCAACAGGACAAATGTCGGAAAGCTGGAAACCCAAGTGTACAGGAAGCCAACACACACTGATCATATCCTCAACTACAGTAGCAACAACACACAAAATCAGTTGCGTGCAGACTCTGTTCAAAACAGCGAGAAAACACTGCATTACAACAACTTCACGGAGAAACGAAGAAAATTATTTGATGTCGATTCTAAAGAAAAACGGCTACCCGCGAAAATTTATCAGAAGATACCTATCCCGTACAACACCAACTACAAAGTCATCGACAGAAATCAAAACGCATCATCCTACCATACATAAAGAATATATCGGAAATCACGACAAGATTACTGAGACCACTTGGAATTGGTGTGGCTCATAAACCAATAAATTCCCTTCAAACACTATTTTGCAGACCAAAGAAGACAAACCGAATATCATCTGCAAAATCAACTGCAATAACTGTAGTCAACACTACATTGGACAAAGTGGTCGCCCTCTTCGCCTTCGTCTACA